ATTCCCCCCCCCTTTCTTTAATTTCAAACCCTTGAGGGTGTAAGAAGCGGTGGGGGAGGGGGGGGGGGTAGAGTCTGAATTCTACCATCGACTTCCAAAATTACCAGTGCCACTAGAGGTTAAAGGCATTATATTTTTTACTCGTTATTGATTCAAACCCTTTATCTCCACACAAGTTATAGAACGAACGAAAGGAGATGTTCAGCTATTCACATTAAATTAATTGTTCCGGTCAGCTTTCACCTGTTATAAAATAATAAACCCAGTAGTATATTATCCACTCACGAATCTGACACCACAGACAGAATGGTGTCTCTAAATAGTTAATGTCCGGAAAATGTTACCTGCCATACCCGACCTTTTCAGCTTCAATCAGGCAAATTAATCAGGGAGGCAAAATATCATACAGTAGACACATAAAAATACCAATAAAAATAATCTCATGGCTGCAGACAAAAATTATAAAGACAGAAACAATTACATAAACTATGGTAGATGAGAAGTCAAAGAGGTGCATCTACACACTACAGCGTTAAACACTTAAAATTATCGGTGTTATACGTGGTACGTCGCTACATGCTATGATAGTATGTAAATTAACACAAAACGAAAAAATAACAAAAACCATTAATTTACGATGTGCTGTGAAGAAAACGCAATGTGAACAAATGAACGCATGAAAAGCATAACAAATTTATAGAAAGACACAAGAAAAAAGTATCTTTAAAAACAAAGCCTGAAACAAAAAGGTATAATAAATAATAATAACACACAACTGCAAAAAATGAGCGTAAAATAATGACATCAAACCAAATCGTTACAGACGTAAACAATTCTACGGTGTCCAACAACTAGATATCGTTAAGAGAATTAAGGCAACCTACATCAAATTATAAATATATACAGGGTCCAGAGAGTGAATGCAAGGAAATAATTCGTATGGAATTATGACTAGGTTTGGGGGGGTGGGTATCTAAAGGGATGGGGATAACTTATTGGGTGTTTTTTTTTTTACCCAAGGTTTGATGGAAGATGAACCAACCAGCAGTTAGAATTCGATAAATAAATACCAAAATGATAACATGCCATGCAGATAAATCGTCCCTCGTAATACCGCCATCGTCAAAACGTACGAAGACATTCTTTATCGTAACAATACAAATTGTATGCTGGTAATCGTTTCTTTATGACACCATATCCCGCGCTTGCCGACCAGTCGTACAAAAGAAGGCACATGAACACCTGCATTAAACACCATCAATCCTGATAACTTAATGCTCCATTATGTATGTATTCTATCAGAGAAGTCATTGTGAGCTAACGTTAGAAGGACATCAAAAGAACGTCTTCAATGTGATGTAAACTTGTGTTATGAGAAGTTTGGGAACATGGGAACATGCATAGAGCTACGCGCTGGCGTAGAGACATCAATTAGCCCTTTTTTTTGGGGGGGGGGGTTGTCACAAAAGTCAAACTAATGCTGATGAACATTCGCAAAATGAATTACTTATTTTTAAATTTCTACACTATCGTTCTAATTTTGCTCTTTAAAATGACAAAATACTTCGTACCCAAAAGATACCTCCTGGGGTTAATTTTGCGAGATCTTCGTAGCACTGATTCATATTCTTATATCTCTTAGAGCCATCATCAAACATGACAATGATACTAATAAGGTAGATGACAATTCCTAAAGTACACATAAATATCTATGACTTCCAGCAGCAAAATGTTAATGCTACTAGGTAATGTCAGAAAGCAGAACCGCGTGAAGGTAGCATCACGAGATGCCTTGTGTTAAGTTTGGCAACATGCTACTATCTACCTCTGTAACACAGGAGGAAACTGCAACACAGCTGCTCTCACAAACAGCCGGAGCATGCATGACAAGACAAGCGTGAGGGGTGCACTTATTTCACGCCCTTCTCGAGAAAGCAGTAAGTCTACTCAAATGTAAGAATCTACAGTGGCTATCTACGGTGCCACTAGGTCTCAAAATTATGGTTGTGAGATGAGGTGAATGTTGAAGCAGAGCCAACCGAAACAAAGGGCGAGTTGGCTTTCAAGCAGACGGCTGCAATTTGAACATGACAAGGCGATGCTAGAAGCTGACGAGAAAGCGCAATGAGAAGACAATGCGCTAACGGGGAATTGTACATGACAAAATGTTGGGAGATGGTTCGGTGTAAACACATTGTCCAAGGAAAAAAACCTGTCTCTTCTACTTTCTCTCTAGCCTGCACTGAGAAAAAAAAACCCGCTCATTCCACCTCACATCATTTTTTTTTCTCCGATGCTCGTAAAAACGTCCACGGCAGTGTTGACGTTGAAAACATATAAGGATAACGAAAAACGAAACCCCTGAGAACAAGAAATGCTTATGCAATCTTCAGCTTTTTTAAAATGAGAATCTACAACGTCAAATCTACAACGAAAGCAGCTGTCCAAATCAGACATGGAATCTGAAAAAAAGCCCGGTCGTGCTGCTGGAAAACGTAAGACAAGTCCGCTACATGCAAACCCGGGGTGTCCTTGGGGGAAAGGGGGGGGGGGTCAAATAAAAGCTTCCATTCACGCGTTTAGTAGACGTCAAAAGTGAGTTTAAAACAATATCCTGCAAGATGAAAAGGGTAACAGGCAGCAAAAATGCAAAGCAAAGGGAAAAGGTAGGGGGGGGGGGGTCTAGTACAGGGTAATGTTAAAGGAGAAAAGGGCAGATGTGTTTAGGGGAACATGAGTGAGTCAATGTCAACTACAATCTATACTGAAACTAGTAACGGGTGGCATCTACAGCAGTGGAGTTCCCAGCATGGGGAATGCACCGTGAGCGAGAACCGGTGTCAAATTTAGCGGGCATCCTTAAATGATTTTTAAAAAAACTTTTTAAAAAACTAGTACATATACCGCAAACAATGCCACCAAACTGTTAATAGTATCTGTAGTAGGAGTTGTCAATGTGTTAGAGTGCAACTACGGGAGCCCCCAGCACGACAGCGCATGTGTCCAGCTATACCTTCCACTTCCACAGCAGGAGGAGGCGTCATAAGTTCCAGTCCCAGCTGTTCCGGTTCCGACTGTTCCGGTTCCGACAGTTCCGGTTCCAAAGGTTCCGGTTCCAAAGGTTCCGGTTCCAAAGGTTCCGGTTCCAAAGGTTCCGGTTCAAGCGGTTCCGGCTCAAGCGGTTCCGGCTCCAGCGGTTCCGGTACCGCGATCGGATATTCGATGGGAGGTGGAGGGGGCAGGGCGGGCTCCTCTTCTTCTTCCTGCTGCACAACCTCGACTCTTGCGGACACTTCCTCCTCCTCCACCTCTAAACCGGCCTGCTCTACCACCGCGTTGAATTCATTAGTTACGTCTTCTTCTGCTGCTCTAACAACATCATTGTCATCAGCATCACTATCATCAGCAGCAAACTGGCCGTTGGTCACTTCAAGGTCATCCACGGCTGCCACAAGAGCGGCCACCTCTTCCTCCTCCTCTTTCATCTCAAAAGTAACCTCCTCCTCCGCCTGCTGCTCAACCACAACAGCAGCAGCAGCAACAGCAGCAGGAGCAGGAGTTACAGCGACCTCCTGGTCCAGGTCCACGGTCTCGGGCTGTCCCTGGACATCTACGGACACATTGGGGCACACACCGTCAAACACACCAAATGCACAGGGGGGACAAACAAACACACTGCGACAACAACTTAGGTCACCGTCATTTCATGTTTGAGTTGTTGTTTTGTTTTTCTTTGATTTCTCTCTTGTTTCATTCTCTATTATTTTTTTAAGAAACGGTGGGGTGGGAGAGGGGATTTTTTGATGAACGAAACTGCACCAAAGGGGAAAAGAATTTGAAACATGGAGGACAGCTCTTAAGGCGAAACGCCCGTGAGCGCTATTTTACTCTAGAAGGTGAAATAAGGAGATCATTTCAGGAGGGAAAAAAAACTGAAGGAAAAGTCAAGCAAATAAGGAGAAAGAGCAACGGGTGAATCCAGAGGTGGGAAGGGAGGGAGGGGGGTGGACGTTTCTTCATGGTGTAGCTAGAGCATACCCTTCAGCAACAGAAAAAGAAACCCCGGAAAAAATCTACATAACTAGTTAATTTCCCAACATATGCTCAATCACTAAATTAAATAATCGCATGAGCGTACAGAGTACGTTTGTCAAGAACATTTGTGAAATTTGATGAACAATATGTATATTTTAAAAACAACAACAACAACAACAATAACAACAACAACAACAACAACAACAACAACAATAAT